ATTTTCTCTGGTCCCAAATTAGAGTCTGTGTTAATGTATATAAAATAGACCAAACCCGGATATAAGAAATCCGGGTTACACTGTATTTAAAATTATGTAGTTGTTTGATGTTGCCATCTCCCATTCATAACTGACATCTTGAGCTATTTCTCTTGCTGACAACCATATTTCTGTCTTTTTACAGTTGATGGCTAATCTTTATTCTCGCTTTTCTCTTACTGCGTTATCTAGGAGGCCCTATAGTTTTCTTTCTGTATCTGCCATCAACAGTGTTATCTGCGTATCTTATATTATTAAGATTAGCCTTGATTGAAAAGATCTGGATAGAAGATGTATCCTTGTCTTAAGCCCCTTTCTATTTGTGTTTACCTACTGAATTCATTTTCCATCCGTATGCAGGTGGTTTAGCTCCCCGTATAAATTCTACGTTGCTGTAACATCCGTTCTGTATAAATCAAGTTTTCCTAACAGTTCAAATAGATCCTTATGAAGTACCTTGTCAAATACTTTTGCGTAATCTATAAAGCATACGTGTAGACCTTTTTACATTTCTATTGTTTTCTCCAGTATCATTCTAATAATAAGCATAGTATTCCAATATCCTCGACAAAGCCGCACTGTTCTTGTCCTTTTTCCTGTTAAATTCTGCTTCGCTCTCTATTCATTAGGATTCGGATCGTTAGTTTGGTTATATGGCTCCTTAAGTTGATTGTTCGGTGGAATTCGCATTCATTTTCGTTTGGTTCCTTAGGTAATTCTACGAAATTGAATCTGCTGAGGTCCTCCGGGATTTCACCACTGTCATATATTTCCTTTATTGTTGGAGATGCCGAAATCAAATTAGTACAACAATATAAATATCTGGGAAGCGTTTAAAAGAGGCTGGAAAGTGCGACACAGAAATACATAGACGCATTGGGATAGTGAAAGATGCCTTCCAAAAGCTAAGAAAAGTATTAAGAAACATGAAAATTTCATTGGAAACAAAGAAAAGAATACTCAATTGTCACATAATATCGGTACTTCTATATGGCACTGAATACTGGCCAACCTCCTCACAGATGAAGAAGAAATCTGCAGATGACACAGTGTTGATAACAGTTACTGAAAAGAAAATACCATAATGCCTAAAGAAAGTAGTGAAGGAAAGCGAGAAGAAAGAACTAAACATCAGTCGCAAGAAGACAGAATGGTTGTTTGTTAACAACAGGGACAGTCCAACATGCGAATTACACATTGGGGATACCGAAATCAAACAAGTAGAACAATTTAAATATTTGGGAAGTGTTTTAATTGAGGAAGGAAAGTGCAACACTGATATCCAAACGCATACTGGGATAGCGAAAGATCTTTTCCAAAAGATAAACTAAGTATTAAGAAACAGAAAATATCGCTAGAAACTAAGAAAACGGTACTGAACTGTTATGTAATATCAGTCCTTCTATGTGGAAGTGAATGCTACACAATCTCCTCACAGATGAAGACGAGACTTGAAGCAACAGAAAGAAAGAAAAAAGTACTGAACTTTTATATAATATCAGTCCTCCTATATGGCAGTGAATGCTGGACAATCTCCTCACAGATGAAGAAGAGACTTGAAGCAACAGAAATGTGGTTATACAGAAGGATGCTGAGAATGCCATGGATCGAACATGTGAGCAACGACGAAGTTGTAGAGACAATGTAAACAATATATACACTTATACTTAATCTCAGAATGAGGCAGTTGACATTTCTGGAACGCATAGTGAGGAAAGAGGGTTTGGAAAATTTGATACACACAGGACAGATTGAAAGTAATAGAGACAAAGGAAAGAAACCTATGGTCTACCTGGTGAGATCAGGGTTTAGTGGAAATTATAAAAAGACAAAAATTGTTACGAAGGACTGGAAATTGTGAAGAGCTATTATCGCCAACGTCCTGAAGGGACACGGTATGTTGCAGAAGAAAATCTTGTTGGTGTCGAAACCGTCCAAGGCTATTCGATTCCATCTGATCTCGTTGCTTTGTTCCAGTTCATCTTCCCCAGTGACAATCTTTCTTCAGATTTTCTTATCTACAATGTATACAACCCCCCCCAAAAAAAAAAAAAAAAAAAAACAACAAAAAAAACAAAACAAAACAAAAAACAAAACAAAACAAAAAAAAACAACAACTTATATTTAGCATCAGGAAGAGACAGTCGACGTTTCTAGGGCACATAATGAGGAAAGAAGGTTTGGAAAATCTGATACTCACAGCATAAATTGAAGGCAATAGGGAGAGAGGAAAACAACACATAACCTAATTAGTGAGCTTGAGTAAATGGATGGCAAAACAAGCTTTAGGTGAAATAAAAAAAACACAAAATTTATTAAGAGCTGCGAAGAACATAAAAATGTGGAGAGCCAGGATCGCCTACGTCATAAATGGACGCGGTACATAGCAGAAGAAGAACTGGCTTGAGTAAACGGATGGCGGACAAATGTTTAGGAGAGATGGCAAATAGACAAAAATTTA